TCTCTCTCTCTCTCTCTCTCTCTCTCTCTCTCTCTCTCTCTCTCTTACACACACACACACACACACACACAATGTGCACACTCCTTTCATTTTATGGAGACAGAGCCTCACTTTGTAGCCCATTTTGTGCAGGAACTCAGTCCTCCTCCAGCTTCCCGTGTGCTAGGACTGCAGCGTGAGCCACTGAGCCTGACTGGATAGTTGGGCATGGTGGCACATAGCTCTTTCTGTTTATTTGCTTGTTTGTTTTTGGTTTTTGGAAACAAGATTTCTCTATGTTGTCCTGGCTGTCCTGGAACTCATTCTGTAGACCAGGGTGGCCTTGAACTCAGAGATTGCCTGCCTCTGGTGGTTCCTAACTTTAATACCAGCATTTGGGAGACGGAGGCAAGAGACTCTATGTTAGAGGCTAGCCTAGGCTATATAATGAGACCCTGTCTGGGGTGGAGGGGCTGGTTGGAGAGATGACTCAGCAGTTAAGAGCACTGGCTACTCTTCTAGAGGTCCTGAGTTCAATTCTTGGCAACCACATGATGGCTCACAACCATCTGTAATGAGATCTGGTATCCTCTTCTGGCCTGCAGGTATTCATGCAGGCAGAAACTTGTATACATAATAAGTAAATCAATCTTAAAAATAAGAAAGAAAAGAAAAAAAGACAGTCGGAATCTTAAGTCTGGTGACATAACATGAAAGTCGAAAGTGTAGATTTCTGTGAGGACCTATGTATTGGTACATTTTTATTAACTACATGAGAAAGTTTATTTAGCGCTCAGAACTAGAGGTTTGAGGGCCATATGTAGTGATGGCCTTCTTGCTGGCATGCCAGCTGATGTGAGGGGGAAAGGTGTGTGTGTGTGCGTGCGCGCACGTGCGCACTCACATGCATGTGTGTATAATGTGCACATGTGTGCTTCTCCCTTCCCGACCTCGAGCACGTTGGTGGTTACTCTTGGGGCTCTACCATGATGACCTTTTCTGATCCTTGTTACTTTCTGGGGCCCCTTCTTCAAGCCAGGAGTTAAATGTCAACATGTGACTCACTGAAACAATATCTGAATCCTAGCACCATAGTTTGAAATACAGAGGCCAAATGGGTCCTAAAATAGACAGTCCCAAACAGGACACTGGAGAGGTGAGGCCAGGTTTTCTGGTTTTGGCAATTGCTACTTTCTGAGAATGTCTTAACATTCCAAAGCTTGAGTTCAGATTTTGTGTGCAAGATGTCCTTTTTTGTGTGTGGTTAGATTGCTCGAGTTTTAAACAGATTTATTTTTTAGTTTTGTGCATGAGTGTGTATGGAGAATATGGGTACCTGTGGAATCCAGGAGAGGGCTTTGGAGTTCCGGGACCTGGGGTTATACACAGCTGATACTGAGCCACCAGACGTATGTGCTGGTGACTGAATTGGGTCCTCTGTGACTTTTGAACGTTGTTTTTAGAAAACAGCCATGTACGTGTTAGACAATTCACCATACTTAACGGGGAGGTTGGCCTTTAGGCTACCGGTTTGCCTTTTCTGACAGATTTTACTCTAAACTCATTAGCTGTTCCAACGGATCAATAAAATCTCTATACAAGTCAGTCTCACTGCTTCCAGATCACACGGCACAGCACTTCCTCACAAGTCTCAAGCCAGTTTTTAAATGTGGGTCTAGACCATTAGTTGCTCCCCAGATGAGGGCCGGATGGGGATGGCTGTGAGAGTGGAGGTTTCAGTGAGACTGTAGTGGTGTCAGTTGGTTGCCCAGGTAGATGTGAGGTTGGCAGGCACTGCTCAGAGCTCTTACATAATGGGAAACATTGTTTTGATCATACAGGCTATAAAAGAGTTGATTACAGGCAGACTGGAGACCTCTGGAGAGAATAGCATTGGCCTTAACCTCTGTAAGGTTCTCTTGTTTGGAATTTAAAATTGATACAACTTAGATGTATGTTCATTAAGTGAAGGCCTTTATAAACAACAGCTGTTCAGAGAAAGCAGGCCCACCCCACCCGTTTTTGTTTTATGGAGAGTCTTGAAGAGTCCTCTGAAGCTTTATACTTTGCAAAGGTCCTGCTTACTTGTATGTGCTTCCACACTGGGGAGACTGATTCTCCTGTGTGCTTTCTTTGCAGACAGCCTCGGGACCCTCCAACCACCATCGGGATCAGGACTCTAAAGGCAGCTTTCAAAGCTCTGTCCACTGCACAAGACTCAGAAGCGGCTTTTGCAAAACTGGACCAGAAAGATCTGGTACTTCCTAATCTACCATCCCCATCATCACCAACCCACAAAAACAAGAGACCCAGGAAAGATGAAAATGAAAACTCAGCTCTCACTGAGGGTGAGGGAGGCTCAGAACTGCAGCCCAAGAACAATCGCATGACAATAAGCAGATTGGTTTTGGAGGAGGACAGCCAGAATTCTGAGCCCAGCCCAGGCCTCCACTCCTCCCCGGAGCCCATGTCGGCATCACCATCCAAGTCCAGTGCTCTCAACCAACCCCACACGGGGGAGAAGAATCCCAAGTATGAAGACCTTCTTTGTAGCAGTTTTGGGGCCCGGGCTGGTTGGCGGTCCTGGTTGGGCCTGGTTTTACTTCTGTGGATGAAGTTACTTCAGCTAAGTTGCTCTCCACCAAGGCTTGCTCAGACTGCTAGAATGAGAGACTGGAGCAGGGAGTGACAATGTAGCAGTCCCTGGAGCTCCCAAGCCCCACTCTAGGCTACACAGCACTGCCCTAGGGCACGAGTAGGGAGGGAGGGTTTCTGAGCCTCTGCCTGTCAGTCTAAGTGCCTCAATGACTATTAGTCTGTTTGTGAAATTTGTCTGAGTTGGGCCTCATCATACTTGATATTTATGAAAGAATGAATACTTAGTTTTGTACCTTTCTATGGGTGTATGAGACTCAGCAAATTCAGTAAAGACTTCCTAATCTTTCATGTTCTGCCAGTTGCTATGGAGCAGTGGTTAGGATATGTTAATTATATTTTATTTCCCACCGTGACTGCCAGCCCAGGTTTTGAGTTTGGCTCCTTTCTGCCCTGCGTGGATCCACCCTGCAGGCACTGGTCTGTTTGCTCTCTCTGGAACATGCTGTTTCTCCTGCTGTCCGTTCACTTCCTCTCATTCCCACAGTGGACTGTCATTCCTCCATCATTGCCTGTCAGATTTCCATGTGTTACCTCACTGACTCTCCAGTGCTCTCCATGAGATGATGTTAGCCCTGTTGTGTAGTTGAGGAAGGCTCAGAAAAGTTAGTTGCTCACCTGACGTCACACAGCTGAAAATAGCAAACCTGGGCTTTCAGGGTCTTAATCTATGTGGTGTTAGCACCACAGCTGGGCCCCATCAGTTGCCTCTCTTGAAACTCTTAGCTCCCCGTGAGCTCTTCTTCGCTGTCCCTGTGTAAGTCGTCCGCCTCGCTGCTCTCCAGGGCCATTGCCATCTCTGTACACTGCTGGGTGCTGTGACTGTTTGGAGAGCCCTGCTCTGACCTGCAATGTGAAGGCCATGGCCTGTGATAGCGAGGTTTCCTCCAGACAGATTTGCACTGTATGCACCACTCTTGCATTCAGAAATAAGTCACAGGCAGACATAGTTAATGGCAGCTCTACACACCTTGTCCTCCATTCATTTCTCCCAGAAACCCTGTGAAATGTAGGCACTGCCCCCATGAGCAGCTGAAGAAACAAGAGCATTGCGGATGCAGTAGGATTGTAAATGGGAGTGTGTATGGCCGCTGCAGACGTGCCCCATGCTGTAATATGTCCGGGGTCTAAAGTCTGATGGGAACTGCACAGCGAGAGTTGGAAAATCACCCGCTGCCTGTTTCTGTTAATAGAACACAATGGAGCACAGCCACTTCCAGCAGGCTGTGAAGCGAGTGGTGGCAACAGAGATGGCAAGGCTTGCAAAGCTGCGAGCCCAGCATCAGGAAGTGTATGGGGTGCCCAGTGAGCCTGCTTACACAAGTGTTGTAAGAGAACAGATGTTGAGCTGGCCTTGGAGGAGTAGGGAGGTCGCAAGTGCCATGTTGAAAGGGGTTCTAGACAGTACTGCAGTTCGTGTGGGCATGGGAGCCAGGGGTTAGTGACTTGAAACTACAGCACAGAGCAGCAGCAGTGGCAGGCCAGCCGGCCAGGTCCTAAGTTCCTAGTCTGCCAGGCAGGCAGCTAGCTCCAAACTGCAGGGGGCACATTTAAAGGTTATTTTGTTTTATTTTTTAAGTATATGTTCCCAGGCCTGTGGGGCACCACTGAGGGCAGGGAGGAAGCTGGAGACAGCTGCAGGTAAGCAGGGAGAACTTGAGAAGGATCCAACACAGAAAGGCAAAGGGGAAACTGCCTGAAAAGCAAGGCTGTGTCCCTAGATTCTTCTGTGCCCACAGCACCTTAAACACAGTTGGTATTTTCTAGGAGTTTATTAATCAAGTTAAATGTATATAGGCCACACATTCGTTCAGGATTAAGGTTTCCTTTGGAGAGTGGATATGGGCCAAAGCTTCCAGGATAAAACCCTTACGGCCAGTGCTTATGAGGCCGTGACTTAATAAGTGAGGAGAGTGAGGGTCTAGAAGTGGCCTGGCACCTGACAGCCGGGAAGCGTTCTCAGCCCTTCCGCAGTCAGCAGGACCCTACGCTGTGCTTCAGTCCCTGAAAAGGGCAATGTGAGAGTTTCAGTGAGACAGGTTACTAGCAAGTGATAGCCCACAGGATCCAAGGTTCAGACTGACTATCAGGACTGGGAAAATAGAAAAAACAGTAGCCTAGTTGTTAGCTGTCTGTAAACAGTCCACGGCAGAACTAAAGGCTGGCTTGTGCTGCCACTCTGTTTCAAGTAAACTGTACCCAAGATCTAGTCCCAGTTAACAGCATACGTTGTCCCAACATGGCTCTCAGCTACTTGGATAGATACTTCTTAACTACAGAGAGGATTTTGGCGGGACCTTGGCTGGTTTGGATGGCCGCAGCCTGACAGATGGGAGCAGAGGCTTTCTGTGTTGTCATCAGTACTTAAAGGTGTTGTTGAAAATGGCAGTTTTAGGCTGGGGATGCCACCTAGTTTGTAGAGTGCTTGCCTAGCGTTTGGAAGGCCTTGATTTGGTCCTCAGCACTACATCCAGCCTGGTGGCACGTGCCTGTGGAAGCACTTGCGTGGAGCTAGAAGGGTCAGAAGACCAAGGTCCCCTTCGATGATAGAGCACATTCAAGGCTAGTCTGGGCAATCCTGTCACAAAGGAAAAAAAGAAAAAGATTGATTTTTATTATATTGAAAGACCCATAAGTCTCTAAGCAGGGAAGGAACTCCTAGACAGAGGTAAGGAGCAGAGAGAGCAGCCTCGGTTGCTGTAGGTTCTCAGCCTGTGGGTCACCATCCCTTGAGGGTCAAGTGACCCTTTCACAGAGGTCATATATCAGACACTTACATTTGCAGTTCATAACTGGCAAACTTAGAGTTGTGAAATAGCAATGAAGGTTGGGAGTCTGCACAGCATGAACTGTATTAAAGGGTAGGAGCAGTAGGAAGGCTGAGGACCACTGCTGTAGGTGTAATGGTGTGGTGGGGCCAAGGTAGGATATGGCCTGGATTCACAGACCATAGAGAAGTGTGCTGACTTTGTTGTTTAAGTAGCCTAGCATGTGTATTTCAGGCAGCTTTGAACTTGTGATTTTCCACTGGTCTCCCAAATACTGTTATTATAGGAATGTGCCACAGTGCCCATTCAATGTGCTTTGGGAGGAGAAAAGCCAATACTGATACAAGGTGTCTTGAGTTTAACTCCAGGAAGAGGGAGGGTACCCAAGTCAATGTAAATGCAGTAGAACATGGCCCTGAAGGAGAGGCAAGGATCCCAAATGGCTGGGTATGTTGATGTGTACCTGTAATCCCAACACTCAGCAGGGAGAGGCAGGAGCCAGCGTGTGTGCATAGTATAGCCCTATCGAAAAACAAAGAATAAATAAACAAATGAAATTAAAGCTCTTTTGAAGGAAATGGCGACATGGTGCTGTACTTCACTCAGAGCCCAGTTTGAGGCATGGCTCTGCAGCCTGGGAGGTGGTCGCACGTGGAGATGCCTGGCTGGCTGAGGGAAGGGGACAGTGCTGGAGCCCTGTGTGATGAGCCCTGAGAGAGCTGGAAGTGAGCCGCGTTCAGAGCTGGTGATGAAGGGAGTGTCTCATGGCTTCTCTTCATTGCTCTCCCCTAGAGTATCCAAAGACAAGTGGAACAGCCCTAACGGGCTCGAAGAAAAAGAAATTTGGGTGGAAGAGGACCAGCTGTTTGACGTTCGGGGTAAGCCCCAGATTGCCCTTGCCCTCTTGGGATGTTTGCTGAAGTGTGATGCACATTGCTGTTGTGTTTTGTGTTGCGGGACCCTCTGTCCCAGTGAGACAGCGGCATCGTCAGAAATCAGAGTGCATTTGGTGTTACTGCAACAGGCTCTTGCTGTGTGGCCCACGCTGCTCTTAAATTCAGGATCTTCTGCCTCTGCCTGCCAGGTTGGGATCACAGGCATGTAACCGCATTTGATTCCTGTGTTTCTTTTTCCTTTGTTCCTCCTTGGTAGGGTGCTGGTGGTGAGAAAGGTCTCGTGTAGTGCAGTCTGTCCGTAGACCTCCTGTGGAGCAGCTGAAGATGAACTTCTGGGCTCCGGGCCTGCACTTCAGAGCGCTGGATTACAGTCATCCGCTATCTCACCCATTTTTTTCTCTTTATTTTGGAGACAGGACCTCACTGTGTAGTTTTGGCTGGCCTGAAATTCTGTATAGACCAGGCTGGTCTCAGACTCACCTGCCTTTGTCTCCTGAGCGCTAGGTCTCCTGTATTAAAAAAATTTTAGCCAAGCAGTGGTGGCACACACCTTTAATCCCAGCACTCGGGAGGCAGAGGCAGGTGGCTCTCTGAGTTCGAGACCAGCCTGGTCTACAGAGTGAGTTCCAGGACAGGCTCCAAAGCTACAGAGAAGCCATGTCTCGAAAAACAAAAGAAAAAAAAGACAAAATGTTTACTTCTATTTTACTTTTTTTGTGTATGGATGGGGAGGTAGCATGTATGCATGTAGAAGTCAGGACAGTTTGCAGAGTCTGTTCTCTCCTGCCCTGTGAGGTCTAGATAACAGAGTCAGGTCATCAGACTTGGCAGCATGTGCCTTTAACTGAGCCATCTCCCTAGCTCTATTTCTTAAAATAAAAGCTTTCTTTGGTGTGTATGCTGAGCATACATGTATAGGATGGGAAATTTTACTTTCTGTAAGCGCATCTAAAGCTCTTAGCATTGGCATTAGAATCTTTCCCACTACATATTTTGCATTCTAATAGAAATAGTGAAATGCACCAGGCAGTGGTGGCACACGACCTTAATCCTGGCACTGAGGAGCCAGAGACAGGCGGATCTCTGAATTCGAGGCCAGCCTTGTCTACAGAGTGATCCAGGACAGCCAGGGACTATATAGAAAAACCCGTATCAAAAAACCAAAAAAACTCAAATAGAATTTATTGGAAATCTGTCAAACTCTTCTTTGTACAGGTTCCCAGAGCCTGATGTGACTGCAAAAAAAAAAAAAAAAAAAACCAGGAAATTATTCTTTAATGGTGCTCTTTTAGTTCTCAACGTTAGAGAAATTTATTTTGTTCTGCTTTTGCCGTTCTGGGGATCAAGCTCCGTCTTCTTCAAGCTAGGCAGTCACTCTACCGCTGACCTGCCTTCCCAGTCTTCAGTGCTTGTGAAATTTAAATCAAGTTTTCCATTTGGGGATATTTTATGTTTTCTTCTAAACTGAGTATACTCTCATATTTTCCAACAGCACCCAATGAAGAAAAGTCAGTCAGTTTAACAAGAAAGGTAATTAAGAACTTGTTCAAACTTTGAATGTGTGGATGTTTTGCCTACATGTAAGAGTTTATTGTTAATCATACATGTGTGGGCTTGTGCCCGTGGAATCTAGAGGAGGGTGTCAGATCCCCCAGAGCTGGAGTCAACAGATGCTCGAGAGCCACCTGATAATGGTGCTGGAAACCAAAGTTGGTTATATCTGTGGACCGTGTGTGTGTGTGTGTGGTGTCTGCAGAAGCCAGGGAGGGCATTGGATCACTGGGAACTGGAGTTCTAGGTGGTTGTGAGCTATGATGTGGGTGCTGGGAATGGAACCAGGTCTCTGGAAGGACATCACATCCAGGGGCTGGAGAGATGGCTCAGAGGATGAGCACTGGCTGCTCATCCAGAGGTCCTGAGTTCGATTCCAGCAACTACATGGTGGCTCACAGCCATCTTCTGATGGGCAGGCATACATGCAGACAGAACATTGTATACATACATAATAAATAAATAAATAAATAAATAAATAAATAAATTTAAAGAAAAAGGACAGCCAGTGTTGTCATCTCTCCAGCCCTTAAGACTTTTTTCTGATGTGAGTTTTATAAGAACAGGTAAAATAAGCTTTCCCTATCAGACAGAGATTACCCATGTACCTGGTTAAAAAATACCTCTAAGACAGTTCAAACTAAGTTCAAACAGTGGGTTTTGTTGTGCTTAGCAAACACTGTACCCTTGAGCCGTATCACAGATGCTTTCTTTCTGTTTCTTTTTTTTAAAGATTTATTTATTATGTATACAGTGTTCTGCCTGCAGAACCAGAAGAGGCCAGAAGAGGGCACCAGATCTCATTACAGATGGTTGTGAGCCACCATGTGGTTGTTGGGAATTGTACTCAGGACCTCTGGTAGCAGCCAGTGCTCTTAACCACTGAGCCATCTCTCCAGCCCCTTCTTAGTTTTAAGTTCCAGTGTTTCAGGGTTTTTTTTGTTTGTTCATTTGTTTTATTTTTTAGTGTTTTTGGGTTTTTTATTTGTTTGCTTGTTTTTTCAGTGTGTTTTTTGCCTTCATGTATGTCTGTGTTCCATGTGTGTCTAGTGGCCCAGGAAGCCAGAAGAGAAATCTGATTCCCTGGAATTGGAATTTACAGATGGTTGTGATCGGTCATACAAGTGCAGGAGCCCAAACCAGGGTCCTCTGGGAGAGCAGCAAGTGCTCATGACCACTGAGCCTCTCTGCCACTCACAGCAGTGATTATCAATAAAGGATGGCATGTCAGAGTTAGAACATGGATGATTACTAGCTATTAAAACCCATGTGTTTGTTTTTGTTTTTAGACAGTGTCTGTCTCTGTAGCTCTGACTGTCCTTGCAACAGAAATCCTCCTGCCTCTGACTCCCAAATGCTGCAATTAAAGACGTGTGCCACCATTGCCTGGATTATACTGTGTTATACTTGCTTTTGGGTTCTGAGTATTCAATTTTTGGCTTAAGATTACCTCATCAGTACATTGGGAAAGAGGTAAGTGGCAGCAGATTCTGACGGGTCTGGTGGTTTTCCTCTGCAGAAGTGGACCGTGGAAGAGAGCGAGTGGGTGAAAGCTGGAGTGAAGAAGTACGGGGAAGGGAACTGGGCTGCCATTTCTAAAAACTACCCCTTTACCAACCGGACAGCCGTGATGATTAAAGACCGCTGGAGGACCATGAAGAAACTTGGCATGAACTGAAAAAGGCTCTTGTTTCCACAGGATGCACAAGAGCATGGTTCTGAACCATAGTCGCTGATGCTCTGATGTCTTTCAGAAGCTGGACTGAGATGAGACATGTGGGCGGCCTTTCTGTCCAGGCAGGCCTCACGTATACTCCATCACTGTTGTCAGAGATCATGGAGCTGAGAAGCAAAGCCAGGTCTGCCCCATGTCTGCAGCAGAGGCTGCAGGCACACAGCTTAGACAGTGCCAGAACCTCATTAGCATTTCCCTTTAGTGGTTTGCTTCAACTTGAATCCCCAGTCATCCATAGAACCTCCTAAGAAATGATGGAATCCATTGTGAGTACTTATGATCCCTGATCTGTTAAATCCAGCAATGTGAGCATTATCTGGAATGAACTTCATCCTCATTGAGTTTTGACCTTCTGACTCAAGAAGAAAGGCAATTTGTGCTGAGCCCCAATGAGAGCTGTTCAGTTCTTGTGGAATCTGATTCCTTGTAAAGAACCATTTAGCCACTTCGTCAGCCGTGGACCTGACTGCCTGGGCACTCGCTGTTACCGTGTGCTGGGCTACGTGACAGGTTTGTCCTGCGCTTTTCTCATGTGGTTGAGCAAGTGTGGTTTTTGGTAAAATGGTGAGTGTAGATAAGCTTAGCTCCCCACCCCACCCCGCCCTCCCCCTTCTCGGAGTCCTTTCTTGTGCTGGACTTATAAAGCTTCAAAATCAGTCCTGGTTGAATCAATGCCTAACTCATCCTCTGAATGGTTGCTCCCACCCACACTTACCTAGTCGTGCTATGTTTGTGTCTTGCACCGGAACCCGACAAACCCTTCTCCCTTTGTACAGTGTTGTGCTTGCTGTCTCTCAGACACCCTTGAAAACTGTCTTTTTAGCAAAACAAAAAACAAAAAAAAATTCAGTAAAGTGTTTTCTGTAATCTTTTTTTAAATATGAGAATGAACTGTTCCTACTTGTAGCATTCTTCATTAAAGTCTTGCTTCTCTCAAGTTTCCATAGCTGGTTAATTGCAGTGCAGCATGTGTTCACATGGGGCAGCAGGATGTTGACAAGCTGCTACACGGTGGTGTTGAGCTGCTGTGAAGCCACTTTGCAGCCTTGGATGCCATGTCACCATGCTGTGAACGTGTCTTCTCAATTTGTCCCTTCCCCAAGTACTACTTTAGGGACTAAACCGTCCCTACTTCCTGTCTTCTGAGTGAATGCTAAGCAAGTTTAAAGATGTATGGAAGTTTCCATTTCGTCTTTAGTTTAATTGAAGCATGGAAAATACAGGTTTAGAACTTGTTGCTGTGTGTGCATTGATAGTCCTGCCCTCTTACCAGCCAACACAAGAAGCCACAGTGAGACCCGGAGCTGCCCAGCACGGTGCCTTGTAGTTGTAGCTAATTTTGGCCTTTCTCCACCCCTGATTTCTTGCCCTCAGATCCCATCCTTGAAGGCTCTTTCCAGGGAGTAGGGTGAGACTGATGGATTAAAGATGCATAATTCCCTGGCTAGCATTTGTCACGTGTCCATGGGACTGTTTCTACAGGACTCCTGAAACAACTGCTTTGCTTTTTATAAAACTAAATTTTTCTATAAATGCTGCTTTTAACATAAGTTATGTTAAGATTGTGCTGACAGGTCTGGCGGTGGTGGCACACACCCTTAATTCCAGCATTCAGGAGGCAGAGACAGGCGGATCTGTGTATTCAAGGCCAGCCTGGTCTACAAGAACTAGTTCCAAAGCTACAGATAAACCCTGTCTTGGGGGGGGGGTGCGGAGAAAAAAAGAAAAAGAAAAAAACTGCCCCAGAGCAAGCCAGGCACGTGGTGCACCTTTAATCCCAGCACTCAGGAGGCAGAGGCAGAAGGATCTTTCTTAGTTCAAAGCCAGCCTGGTGGCCGACACAGTAAGTTCCAGTACAGCCAGAGATACACAGAGAAACCCTGTGGGGGTGGGGTAGGGGAAAACTGCCCCAGAGCAGTCAGGCCTCCCAGGTGGTGAGATGCTTACTGTCTGGCTTCAGGGGAACTGACGTCTGATCTCTGCTTATTACTGTTAAGTATTTTCTTCTGGCCAACAAACTTCTCCACCGAGGCAAATAATCCCAGTCAGATCAAATTAAAAGATACCGAGGTATAATTGGGTGCCAATGCTCCCAGGTGGTTCTGGGAAAACACTGAGGTGGGGAAATGATCACCAGAGAGGAAAAGGGTGTTGGATCCTAGAGTCCAATAACTGAGGAGGAGTTGCCCCAAGAAAACACTCTCACACCACAGTTGATGTAAAAGCATGAGAATTTTATTTCTGTCGTAACAGGGTCGCTCAGAATTCAAGCCAAGGACCTCAAATAGCTGGTGCAGGCTACTTTTAAAGCAAAAAACCATAGAAACAAGGGGTGGGGGAACTCAGGGGTTGTTTTCCAACTGTTGGGATTGGCTAATTCAAAGGGCTATTAACAATAATTGGTCTGAGCCAGGACTGGTGGGTGTTGCCAGATCAGGTGAGGTAAGAGGAAACATTTGAGGGTTACTTTGATCCATTCCCAGGGACTGAGTCAAAACATCAGGAACTGAGTCAACATCTTAAGGGTTATCTTGCCCCAATTTCAATAACTGAGTTCTATCTGGAGAACATTCACAAAGACTCAGGGAGATGGAAAGTTTCCAACATTTCAGTACATGTGTGGGTGATTGTTAGATTCCTGGTTCCCAGGGGAGAGGGGAAAGCACTAAGGCTGAGAGGCCTCAGAGTTGTCTTAAAGTTCTACAAGGGAAGACCACTGGTAACCTGGAGACCACGTGTTCATTCTCTGGGGGGCTTCTTTCCTTCCCACCAGTTCCCGAATAACCACTCTGACGCTTTGTATTTTAAATGGTCCGCAAATAGCACAGGCTTATTATTAACTAGCTCTTACATTTTAAGTTAGCCCACATTTCTGATTTACACTCTGCCACATGGTGGTACCTATTCTCAGTACAGTGTGCCCATCTTGCTCTTTCCGCATCTGGTCAGCATCTCTTTTGACTCTGCCCTTCTCCTTCCCATCATTCTTAGTTTGGTCACCCTGCCTATACTTCCTGCCTGGCTGCTGGCCAATCAGTGTTTTATTAAGCCAATTCCAATAGCAAATCTTTATGATGCACAAGAGGATTATTCCATATCAGGGTTCTAGAGGGACAAAGAAGCCATCACAGCCAGGTGGCGGTGGCACATGCCTTTAATCCCAGGACTGAGACAGAGAAATAGGTGGAATTCTGTGAGTTCCAGGACAGAGTTCCTGGTCTACAGAGTGAGTTGAGTTCTAGGACAGCCAGGGCTACACAGGAAAACCCTGTCTCAAAAAACAAAACAAAACAAAAATCTCCATCACGGCAGGCAGGTGTGGCAGCCAGAGCAGAAGCTGAGCACTCACCGTGAACTGCAAAGCAGAGAGACTGCAAAGCAGAGAGAGCTGGGCATAATCCTTTAATCCCAACACTCTGGAGGCAGAGACAGGCGGATCTCTGTGAGTTTGAGGCCAGCCTGGTCTACAGAGTGAGCTCAAGGATAGACCCAGTTTCAAAAAGTAAAACCTAGAGGAGGTTCATCCCTAGTGACATCCCTCCTCTAGCAAGGCTACACCATCTCATAAACCTACCCAAACAGTGCCACCAACCGAGAGCCAAGTCTTTAGACACCTAAGACGGTTGGGAGGCAACACTTGCAATCATTCCCTGAAATAAAAACAAGAAGCTGGGCAGTACCCATCTAAGATTCCAGTACTTGGGAGGTTGAGGCAGCAGGGTTATAAATGCTAGGCCTCCTGGGGGTGCACTGTGGGATCCTATTTCGCCTGCCCCTACGTTACAGATGTCAGAATTTGGGAACGAACATCTTGAGAAACTGTCTTAGAACATAAGGACTCCAGCTATGCCAGCTATTACTGTGGGGCCGTGACCCTTCGAGGTTTGTGTCACTGCCCTCAACCCAGCGTAGCAGATGACAGTATTGATTGTAGTGCTGTTGTTCGGAAGAAAAAAAAATGTTGGCCACACTCTGAGCTTGGTGCCTGTCACAGAATCAGTGGGTGTTGAAACCATGAAAAGGAGGTTGAAGATTAGGATATATAATACTTTTAGGGTTGGAATATATAATGGTATTAAAGTGGACTTTGGACAGCCTTTCCCTCCCTGTGGGTGCTGAAGAAATCATGGATGAAAGAAGAGAAGGAAGGTTTAAACAAGATTATCTTTCTTGTTTTTTTGTTTTGTCTTTTGAGACAGGGTTTCTCTGTGTAACACTCCTAGCTGTCCCGAACTACCTCTTTTAGACCAGGCTGGCCTCGAACTTACAGAGATCTCTGCCTCCCGAGTGCTAGGATTAAAGGCGTGCGCCACCACTGTCCATCTTTCAGAGGGTTTTGGAGAGCTTTAGATAGACCAGTAGGTGAAAGTCAGCATCAGGAGAACTCAGTGGAGGGGTAGACCACCTTCTTGTTACTGTCTTGATCTGGGTTTCTATGAACACCATGACCAAGAGTAACTTGGGGAGGGAAGGGTTTATTTGGTTTTTTTCTTCTACATCACTGTTCATCTTCAGGAAGTCAGGACAGGAACTCCAGCAATGCAGGATCCTGGAGGCAGGCCCTGATGCAGAGGCTGCGGAGAAGTGCTGCTTACTGGCTTGTTCTCCTTTTTTTTTTTTTTCTACTTATTTTCTTACAGAACCCAGGACCACCAGCCCCCTCACACAATGGACTGGACCCTCCTCCATCAATCACTAATTAGGAAATGTCCTCCAGGCTTGTCTGTAGCCTGATTATATAGTGACACTTTCTCAATTGAGGTTTCCTCAAATGAGCATAGCTTGTGTCAAGTTGACATAAAACTAGCCAGCTCTTGTTCGTACATGAAAACTTTTATGTAGCTGGGTGTGGTGACATGCGTCTTACTCTCAGCACTCAGAAGCAGGCAGATCTTGGAGTTCAGGACTAGTCTGGGTGTTGGAGAGAGCAGTGGTCAAGAGCACTGACTGCTCGTCCAGAGGACCCGGGTTCAATCCTCAGCACCCACATGGCAGCTCACAACTGCCTGTAACTGCAGTTCTAGGGACTCTGTCATCCTCATACACACATGCGTACAAAACACCAATGCAGCACATAAAATAAAAATATTTTTTTTTTAAAAGTACTGGCTACTCTACTGGAGGTGAGACTTGAACCCACATGGAGGCCTACAGCCTTCTATAACTGTAGTCCCATGAGATCCAGTGCCCTCTCCTGGTGTGCAGGTATACATCTAGACATAACATCCATATACATAAACATCTTTAAAAACAGTCTGGTCTACATAGGAGACCCCTGCACCCCACCCCCAAATGTGAGAAAAATACTTTGGGTGTGCATGTATGTGCTGTGCTTTGCTCTAGGCCAAATACCACCCTAGTGTTGAGTAGACAGTAAGTGGCACCTGGCCATTTGATACGCGAAACTTCATCTCAGCCAGCTTTTGTCAGTATGCACAATGGCTATAAATTAACTTGTCGGATATTTAATCTACAAGAAGCAAGACCTGAGAAAACAGCACAAAGAATGAATGGAAAGCTCTCTTCCAATACAGTGTTTTTCTAGAACCCATTAAGTAGATCTGGCAAGCCACTTTTCTTCAGGTGAAAGTAAAATCTATCTGTGAGCCAAGATGTGGTGGGGGCGGGGGAGACATTTGTATTGCAAAATATCTATGATAGCCCTGAAATTGGTCCTAACTGTGACTCGTGGGGTTAATGATTAGCCAGATGCTCTCTAAGCTTCCCACAGGGCTGTGAACAGCTCACCTGCAGAAGAATCCACAGGAATCGGTATGTTCGCTTTGTTCTGTGTGGCTGGGCTGGTGGCTCTGAGCCTGGTGACATCTGCTAAGAGTCAGGAAACAGGTACCCTAGTGGGCTCTGAGGACCAACCACTCCTCCGTGAAGCTGAACAACATGACTTTGCCATCATGATCCATCCAGGAGATATGGAAT